TTTCCCCCCCCCCTGGCGGGTGCCCTGCCCCCGCCAGCCGTCCCGCCGCCGCCGGAGGAGCCGCTGGGGAGCTGCGCGACCAACCATCGCGCCCCAGGCTGGGTGTCCCCATTGCCAAATGGGCACACAAGGTGCGCAGATGGAAATACCTTTGTTTAGGCTAATGAGTGTTCACTTGCAACTACATCTAATTTAAAGCAGTTATGTGGTGTAAACGCTGTGCAGCAGCCAAGCAGGACCTGCCGGTGCAGCATCCCATGGGGAGCCGGCAGCCGAAAACTGTATAGAGCGCACTGGCTGCCACTTCCATGCCAATATAATGGTAATCATTCACATTTCTTTAATTTGCTCATTAGAAATGATCGCTCCCTGCATGAAATTGATAAAATGCCTCTAAATTAAAATACCCACATTAACCACAAGCCAAGAGGCGCCACTCAGGGTTTGGGGTGACCCTTGTCCCCCCGTGGGCTCTTTGCCGACCTGGCTCCTGGCCACTGGGCACACCTTCACCACGCACCTCCACGACCTGCATCCGCTGTACAGCTCAACAGAAGGTGACACCTGAAACGATTAATCACGCTACCTCATTAACGACTAGTGCGGAACTCTTCCTCCCCTGCGCAATTTCTCTTTGTCTGTTTTTGGGCAAAAACAACCCGCGTGCTCCAGCGCTTAGAGAAGGGTTCCCGCAGGTGTGGGTGGGCGCTGCCCGCCTGCTCCCGGCCCCGCGGGTCCCTGCTCCGACACGCCATCCCGGCGTCCAGCGGGTGCGATCCCGCAGCCCTCGCTCGGTCCTTCCTCTGGGGACGCAGGCGGCTGCCAGGGCTGGGGACAGCCCATCCTTGCGCTCCGCAGGGGTCTGCGCCCAGCACGGCCGAGCTGCCCCCCGGCCCGGGCCGTCCCGCGCGACGACGACACAAAGAATACGTGGTAATATCAAGAACAACTCATATGGCACCATATGGCATAAGACACCACCATCACTGCACATCTATGTCTTCATAATAACAGTTGCTAGAGGTCGTACTCTGCTGTAGGAGCGGTGATGAGTGCGGGACCGACACGACAGCACGGAGCGCCACAG